AAGACAAGCTCAACAGTCTGGTCGTGGTTCGACTCTCCTGACTTCCTATGGCACTGTATCTCCATGATGGAGTGGCGGTGCCAGCTCTGGAACGCACGGCACTGGGATGACTGGCACTAGAGGTGACAGGAACTAGGGTGACAGCACTAAAGGTGACAGGCACTAGAGGTGACAGGCACTACAGGTGACAGGCACTAGAGGTGACAGGCCCTACAGGTGACAGGCACTACAGGTGACAGGCACTACAGGTGACAGGCACTAGGGTGATAGCACTAGAGGTGATAGGCACTAGGGTGATATCACTAGAGGTGATAGGCATAATAGGGTAATATAATAAGAGGTAATAATAATAATAATAATAATAATAATTATAGTGGTAATAATACTAGAATGTTTTACAGTAACTAGGGTGACAGTGACGCACATGTGAATGTTACTGATGTGATTGTGTTTATGTGTTACTGATGGTGATGATAGTGAAGCAAAGAACCCATGTTTCACATGTTCAAGTGATTGTGAACACACAGTCTGTGCGACGGGGGGTGTTCACTAGGATGCTAGTGGATGTTCAATTACCTGCGAATGTTGGAAGTTCACTTGTGTAATGTGGGTGTGTGTGTTCAGCTCTGTGCCAGAGTAGGGGGAAAAGGGGGAGCGGACACACATACACATACACACACATACACATACACATACATATACACATACACACACATCACACAGACTCCGTGTTCTTTGGTATTTTAATGTGTCTACCGTGAGTTTCTGACAACCTTTCGCTTGCCGCCCTACCAATTCGCACCAAAGGGGGGGGGGGGTGCAATTAACCAACATCGCGATTCGATTCGAGTCACAGTTTTTGCAATATTGGTTGCGTGTGAGAGCTCAATGTCTGTTGCAAGGTGTGTGTGGTGTGGTCGACGTGCACTGGTGACGCAACATTGTGCACACCAACTCTTACAAGTTCCCAGGAAAGCAGCCTCATGTCACTGTAAACATTACTGTTCACTTTTTTACCCATTACTTGCCATGGCTTTTATTCTTAACACTAATGGTCGTATTTTCTCTCTCTCTCTCTCTCTTTCTCTCTCTCTCTTTTCCCAACCACTTGGGCTGGACGGTAGAGCGACGGTCTCGCTTCATGCAGGTCGGTGTTCAATCCCTAGACCGTCCAAGTGGTTGGGCACCATTCCTTCCCTCCCGTCCCATCCCAAATCCTTATCCTGACCCCTCTTTCCAAGTGCTATATAGTCGTAAAGGCTTGGCACTTTCCCCCCTGATAATTCCCTTCCTGTACACCAAGTCTGAGGGGGGCCTCCACACCCCAATAAAGTTCCCAAACAAACATACCAATTAGTAAAGAGTTTACATTGGGTTGTTGATTTAAAGGGAGTTGTGGTACGAGGCTTGTGTGTACATACCCACACCTGCTGATGTTGGGTGATGATGTCTTCGTCGTGCTCTAGCTCCCCGGCCCCGGCAGTGATGGTAAGGGTGTGCAACAGCCTCCGCCCTAGCAATATATTGCTTACATATTTCGCGATCTTGCTTAAACATTGTATGATTTTGTCACTTATTCCTGTTCTTCTATATGTGTTTTTATGTTGAATTCAGAATTGACTTTCTCTTATCAATACCCAGCCGCTTTGGCTGGACGGTACAGCGACGGTCTCGCTTCATGCAGGTCGGCGTTCAATCCCCGACCGTCCAAGTGGTTGGGCACCATTCCTTCCCCCCTTTCCATCCCAAATCCTTATCCTGACCCCTTCCAAGTGCTATATAGTCGTAATGACTTGGCGCTTTCCCCCTGATAGTTCCCTTTCCTTCCCTTTCTCTTATCAATGTAATTTTTAGCGCCGGGAGGATTAGTTTATTCTCGTAGATTGCTTATAATTCCCCGCGACTCATAATGTTACTTGAAAAGTCTGGTGGGGACAGGAGCAGCATAGTCGCTGACGAACGTCCCATTTGCTCTCTACGTCAGGTCGGATATGACGATAGATGGCATCTGTCCCTTCTATGACACCTCTGATATGACGATAGATGGCATCCTGTCCCTTCCATGACACCTCTGATATGACGGTAGATACCATCTGTCCCTTCCATGATGAGGTGACTTTTACAAGCGCATGTAGGTAGATTTAACTATATGTAGACCAAACTTTGGACCCTCATCTCCAACCTCGGACGTACACATCAACCTCCGACACACTCCAAGTGAGGATCCTTACCCATCACATCTGTCAAGAAATTACAAGTTTACAGTTGACCAGACCACACACTAGAAGTTGAAGGGACGACGACGTTTCGGTCCGTCCTGGACCATTCTCAAGTCGATTGAGAATGGCCTGCATACAAGTTTACAGACCAGTGAAGTCGTGGATCATTTGTGTAAATCGGCCGCGCATGTTTACAAATGACACAACTCTATTGCTCCGAGACAGTTATTTGTTGCAGACTCATACGAGCAATGAACATAAAACACAGATAAATGTTTACCTGAATTTACCTGAGCGCCACTAGCAGTAGTGACCTCGACGAGGACAGGAAGCCGCCCTGGGGCCAGATTCACGAAAGCACTTACGGACGTGTACATATTTCCTCAATCTTTGACGGCTTTGGTTACATTTATTAAATTGTTTACGAGCATGAAAACTTGCCAATCAACTGTTGTTATTGTTATAAACAGCCTCCTGGTGCTTCGGAGCTCATTAACTGTTTAATAATTGGAAACAGAGCCGCCAAAGATTGAGAAAAGATGTACAGGTTCGTAAGTGTTTGCGTAAGTGCTTTCGTGAATCTGGCTCCTGGTCTTTTCCAGTTGTATTTTAAAATTTAACACAACATGTATGGATGTTGTTGTCAATGTTAGAGGCTCTGAACATACGTGGAGTATATTATTGCCATCCTAGCCTTCACAAATAAATATTAAATGACATCCATGTATATTATTACGCACAGGAAATGCATTAGGCTACCCAAATAAAGATAATATTACCATGAAATGTTTTTTGTTACAGTATTAGACGGGTTTTAGGTATTACAAATGATTCTGCACTTTACGTATGAGTTTACATGACAGGGATTGAGCGTTCTGTGGGGTCACGGAAACAGTTAAAGTAGACAAGGGGAAACAAACCGGTTGTCTCATTGTTTATATTAGTGGTCGAATGCGCCTGCTCCGTCGGCGTGGGACTGTGTCTGCCGGGCGTACGATCAACTCTCAGACTCTCGCATGATATAAACATCTATTCCACGGCTCCTTGACACTGAACTTCATGTTTCACGTCACTTCCCTATCGACGATAACACACCCTGAGGTAATACACAGAGCCCCGCAGGTGTAGTTACACTCCCTAAAGTATCGTACCCCAGAGGGAAAGCTAGGTATAAAGGTTAACAGTGTAGTGTAGTTTAGTGGTGGTGTGAGAGCGAGTGTGTGAGTAGTCTGTGAGGTGGTGTGGACGACACAGCTAATAGATAGCGTGCAGGTGTTGGCTGGGCTGGACAGCTGTCAAACGCGAGGTGTCCGGTGCTTATCAACGTGGATAGTTCCTGTCAAACGCAGTCTACAAATCCGTTGAGTAAGTACTTCCACATATCACGTTAACTAAAAATTTTAAGTTAACTTAAATTGTAAATTTTAAGTTAAGTTATATATTTTCTTCTTTTGTTCGAGCTATTCATTAGTAACATCGGTAGTAACAAAAAGGTAACATCGTGCATAATAATTCATATTTTACACCAGAGTGCAGCTGCCAGAGTGTAAATAAGATTTCAATTGAAAAATGTATATTCAAAAATACTTTCCAATTTCCTCCTTGTCCTCACGCCGCGCTGAGGACGGCAAAATAAGATCCTTTAACTGGTTGACCGTCAGCGGACAAGTGTGTAACACTATCCTTACGCCGGGCAGACAATCAGCCCGGTCACTGTTTGCCAGCTGGTGCTGTCAAAATCATAGCCACTTCTATGATTCCCGACATCCCCCACTTAGCCCCGTAAGATGACGTACGTTTAAGGGTTTGATATATGTTAGTGATGAACGGTACACTTGAGACAGCCTCCTGGATATGTCAGTTCCTCAGCTGACTTGCTTCTCTAGCGGTCTATAGCCTATACCTTTGTCACCTGTTCACACGTGTGAACACTTACTTGTCCCATGTACACAAGTGAACACGTGGGCCATGTACACAGGTGAACACGTGGGCCATGTACACAGGTGAACACGTGGGCCATGTACACAGGTGAACACGTGGGCCATGTACACAGGTGAACACGTGGGCCATGTACACAGGTGAACACGTGGGCCATGTACACAGGTGAACACGTGGGCCATGTACACATGTACACAGGTGAACACGTGGGCCATGTACACAGGTGAACACGTGGGCCATGTACACAGGTGAACACGTGGGGCATGTACACAGGTGAACACGTGGGCCATGTACACAGGTGAACACGTGGACCATGTACACAGGTGAACACGTGGCCCATGTACACAGGTGAACACGTGGGCCATGTACACAGGTGAACACGTGGGCCATGTACACAGGTGAACACGTGGGCCATGTACACAGGTGAACACGTGGGCCATGTACACAGGTGAACACGTGGGCCATGTACACAGGTGAACACGTGGGCCATGTACACAGGTGAACACGTGACTCATGTACACAGGTGAACACGTGGGCCATGTACACAGGTGAACACGTGGGCCATGTACATAGGTGAACACGTGGGCCATGTACACAGGTGAACACGTGGGCCATGTACACAGGTGAACACGTGGGCCATGTACACAGGTGAACACGTGGGTCATGTACACAGGTGAACACGTGACTCATGTACACAGGTGAACACGTGGGCCATATACACAGGTGAACACGTGGCCCACGTACACAGGTGAACACGTGGGCCATGTACACAGGTGAACGTGAAAGATGAACACGTTCTATGATACAAGTTGACAAATCTAGCGTCCCCGGAACTCTCTCAGAGCGGGTCACGCGCCGGGAAACTTCCGCTCGTCACAACAGCATCGTTTATAGCAAGTTACGAACGTAAGCAGCATCGTTTAACGTGTTACGAAAGTATGCCGCACTGTCTAGCAACTTACGAACGTGTTACGAAAGTATGCCGCACTGTCTAGCAACTTACGAACGTGTTACGAAAGTATGCCGCACTGTCTAGCAACTTACGAACGTGTTACGAAAGTATGCCGTATAGTCTAGCCACTTACGAACGTTTGTTGCATTGTTTAACGAGTTACAAACGTTTGCCGAATTGTTTACAGAGTTACGATTATTTTTTTGTCATTAAAACATTTAGAAACATCTGGATTTAGGCATCTGCACTCGACTATATGAATCTCCGTGGTGTAGTGGTAAGACACTCGCCTGGCGTTCCGCGAGCGCTATGTCATGGGTTCGTATCCTGGCCGGGGAGGATTTACTGGGCGCAATTCCTAACTGTAGCCTCTGTTTAACGCAACAGTAAAATGTGTACTTGGATGAAAAAACGATTCTTCGCGGCAGGGGATCGTATTCCAGGGACCATAGGATTAAGGACTTGCCCGAAACGCTACGCGTACTAGTGGCTGTACAAGAATGTAACAACTCTTGTATATATCTCAAAAAAAAAAAAAAAAAAAAAGCCGCATCGTCTAACGAGTTAGGAACGTATGCCGCATCGTCTAGCGAGTTAGGAACGTATACCGCATCGGCTAACGAGTTAGGAACGTATGCCGCATCGTCTAACGAGTTAGGAACGTATGCCGCATCGTCTAGCGAGTTAGGAACGTATACCGCATCGGCTAACGAGTTAGGAACGTATGCCGCATCGGCTAACGAGTTAGGAACGTATGCCGCATCGTCTAACGAGTTAGGAACGTATGCCGCATCGGCTAACGAGTTAGGAACGTATGCCGCATTGTTCAACGAGTTAGGAACGTATACCGCATCGGCTAACGAGTTAGGAACGTATGCGGCATCGTTCAACGAGTTAGGAACGTACGCCGCATCGTTCAACGTCTTATAAACATATGCAAGTTCTTCCAAATAGTCTCTGAGCGTCTAAAATCATTTAAAGATCATAAGGGTGATATTCAGGTGTTTGAACGACGTTGAGAGAGCGTTAGTAACGTCACCAGCAGGACAGATGCGTTACTGAAGTATCAGCGACTTCCCCGTATACAGGAGAACGATTTCCAGAGCAGATCAGCAGCCAACTAATGATATTTAGGCAGGAATATCGAAGTTGAAAGGAAATGAACGAAAGCGTCTGGGGGAAAAAAATGAAGAAATGTCGAGATCTTTACACAAGAATGATTGACAGCCGATGAAGATGACTCGAGTGATTGATGGTGGTGAGAACGGCAGCGATGGTGGTGGTGGCTCGCGGCCCCGCTAGCGATGGTGGTAGTGGTGGTAGTGGCGATGGTGGTGGTTATGAAAATGATTTAAAGCCCGTCGCTACACAACATTAATCAGAGCAACGTGACTGATGGGCGTGTGGCTTGGCTTGGTGCTGGAATTAAGGCCTATTACACTCTGGAATTGTTGTTAAGGCTTATACCAACCTCTAAGAGAATTGTCAAAGCCTATAAAATTGGAGGGTTATTAAGGCCACCACAATAGCATACTGACCAACCAGTAACTACACTCTGGTCATGAATATAGTCCAGAACTAAAGTATATATAGACCGAGAAGCGAAGTGCGTATATTATATTATATTATATATTATATTCATATATATTCATATATTCCTTGTATGGCGCCTCGGCCTGGCAACAACACCGAGTTGCCAATTACTATTAGTGTGTGATTATATTATAGATAAGATGGCGGAGACTGCCGGTGAGATTCAGTTAGGACGTCTTCGTCAGCCACGAAGACGTCCCTGTTGGGTAGCAGAGGCAGGAGCAGCCTGGTGCGACCACACACACACACACACACACACACACACACACACACACACACACACACACACACACACACACACACACACACACACACACATACACTGCCTCATTACCAGGAGGGCATCTCATACTCTTTATCTTTGTGTATGACTGGTGGGGTTCCCTCCCCTTATTCTTGGTGATTCGAATATGTTGTTCCAAGTGTTCCATGTTGTTACAGTCTCCGTGTGTAGTGGTAAGACACTCGCCTGGCGTTCCGCGAGCGCTATGTCATGGGTCGTATCCTGGCCGGGGAGGATTTACTGGGCGCAATTCCTTAACTGTAGCCTCTGTTTAACGCAACAGTAAAATGTGTACTTGGATGAAAAAACGATTCTTCGCGGCAGGGGATCGTATTCCAGGGACCATAGGATTAAGGACTTGCCCGAAACGCTACGCGTACTAGTGGCTGTACAGAATGTAACAATCTTGTATATATCTCAAAAAAAAAAAAAAAAAAAAAAAGCATTTGTTAGCTGTGTCTACCGGCTGCTTTGTATGCTAACATGAACTGTGGAGGTTCTTGACTTATTCAGTCTATTCTCCTATGATTAAAATCGTCAGGTATTATATCACCCCCTTGCTTCCCTTTCCAAAATGGCTAGTTTTCCTATTACGTCTAAGTAGGTCTCTTTACAAATTGGGCATTTTCCATAGGCCTTCTGTTGTTTGGTGAGGGATTGTAAATCAAGGCTACTATTATCGTCATGACCCGCGCTATTGCTGTTATCAGTAAGTACTCCTGCTGATTCATTCCTTATGATAACTTGACTTCCACAAAGCCCCATTGTCATGCTGCCCCACCTCCACCACCCCTCTTCACCAGCTCTTTCCATATCACATCTTTTCCTCATGGAGGAGATTGCATTTTCTATATCAGTTTTCTGTTATTTCAATAATACATATATTTCTGCTGCCTTTCCCTGTAAAGCTACCCCCGCCCCTGTTATTTATTACATCTATAATCGTGGACAAAATCAAAATGGTCCTCATCTCTACTGGGCGGCCCCTTAATTTTTTGTTTAAATTTTGCCCCGAGGGGCGAGTTTATTAGGCAGCGCCACTCATCCTGTGAGTGGACACACCGCCACTCATTCTGTGAGTGGACACACCGCCACTCATCTTGTGAGTGGACACACCGCCACTCATCTTGTGAGTGGACACACCGCCACTCATCTTGTGAGTGGACACACCGCCATAGCAGCATGTACATCACTCCCCAATAGGAAGAAAACCCGCTGGGTTTTTCATCCTGTCACTTGTACCCAGACACAGCTGGGACTTGCTGAACTGTCTCAAGTGAACAGCTTATCAAACAAGAAGATTCGCCAACCCTTAAAATTTGACGTTATCTTGCGGGTGCAAAATGGGGCGAATCTTTTAAGAACAGTATCTATATTTGACCTCTTGTTTTGGTTCTGTGTTCAGGTCCGATAAGGAAAAGGATGTGTTGATGCCCGATAAGGGAAAGGGTGTGTTGAAGCCCGATAAGGGAAAGGGTGTGTTGATGCCCGATAAGGAAAAGGGTGTGTTGATGCCCGATAAGGAAAAGGGTGTGTTGATGCCCGATAAGGAATGGGTGTGTTGATGCCCGATAAGGGAAAGGGTGTGTGTTGATGCCC